ACCTTCCTCCGAATCGCGTTCAAATCAGCATTGTGCTGGAACCTGGCATTGGTTTTTTTTCATTTATGGCTTTTCCCTTTTATTCCTAGTTTACGGATAATTTAATGTTTATGGAGAAGCAAACAGGAATGCTGTAGAATTTTGTCAAATGCTTATTCTGCATGTGTTGTGATCATCAAATGATTTTTCTTTTGTGTTTATTCATGTGGTGAATTATGATTGCTTTTTTAATGTTACATAAAAAACCTTACATAATAGACATGATGTATTACCCCTTTCGATATATTATTGGATTCAATTTGCTGAAATTTGTTTAAAAGTTTACATCCATGTTAACAACAGTATTAGTTTGTAGTTCTCTTTTCTCATAATGTCTTTGGTTTAGCCATCAGGGTAAGGCTGACCTCATAGAATAAGTTAGGAAGCATTCCCTTGTTTTCTATCTTCTGGAAGACTTTGTTTAGCATTGTTATTGTTAATTTCTTTAGTGTAGAATTCTCCAGTGAAGCCACCTGGGCCTGGAGTTTTCTTTGTGGGAAGATTTTTACCTACAAATTCATTTTAGACATAGGGATATTCAGTTTATCTATTTCTTCTTGAGTGGGTTTTGATAGTTTGTATCTTTCAAGGAATTTGTTTCTTTTGTCTAAGCTGTTGAATTTATTGGCATAAAATTGTTCATAAAATCTCCTTATTATTCTTTTAATGTCTATAGATTCTGTAGTGATATCACTTAACTCTCTCATTTCTAATATTGGTAATTTGTGTTTTCTACTTTTTTCTTGATCAGCATGGCTAGAGATTTTTCAATCTTATTGACCCTTTCAAAGAACTAATTTTTTGGTTCATTAATTTTCTCTACTGTTTTTCTGGTTTTTATTCTATTAGTTTCTGCTCCAATCTTTCTTTCTTTCTTCTTCTTACTGTGTGTTTTATTTGCTTTTTTTTTTTTTGCTAGTTTTCCAAGGTGAAAAACTAGGTCATTAATTTGAAATGTTTCTTCTTTTCTCACATATGCATTTAATGATGACTGTATCTCTAAGTACTATTTCACAGCATCTCACAAAGTTCGATATGTTGTATTTAGATTTTCATTCAGTTGAAACTATTTTCTAATTTCCCTTTTTGATTTCATTTTGACCAGTGGGTTTATTTAGAAGTATGTTATTTCTAAATATTTGGTGATTTGCCAAATATTTTCTGTCATTGTTTTCTAATTTAATTTCATTTTGGTCAAATAAAATGAAATTATTTGACATAAATTCGACATATACTTTGTGTCGACTTGAATTCTTTTGGATTTTTTGAGCACTTTTTATGGCTCAAAATATAGTCCTTGGTAATGTAATTTATGTCCTTAAAAAATAATGTGTATTATGCTGTTGTTAGGTGGAGTGTTCCATAAATGCCAATCAGATCAAGTTGGTTGATAATATTTAGATATTCTATATTATATTCTTATTGATTGTCTGTCTACTTCTTTGACCAATTAGTAACAGAGGTGTATTCAAATCTGTGGCTATCCTTTTGGATTTTTTAATTTATCTTTTCAGTTCCATCAGTTTTGCTCATATAATTTGAAGCTCTGTTATTGAGGACATCAATATTTAGAGTCATTATGTCCCTTAATGAACTAACCCTTTTAAAATTATAAAATGGTCTTCATTATTTCTGGTAATATTCTTTGATGTGAAATCTACCTTGTCTAATATTAATATAGCCACTTTAACTTTCTTTTATTTAGTGTGGCATAGTATATATTGTCCATCCTTTTACTTTTAACCTTTTTGTGTCTTTATGTATAAAGTGTGCTTCTTATAGGCAGTATATCCCATCTTATCATTTCTGCTTTTAGTTAAGGCGTTTCCATCACTTACATTTATTGTGCTTATTGATATAGTTAGGTTTAAATCTGTCATCTCACTATTTATTTTCTATTTATCCCTTCAGTTATTTGCTCCCTTTTCCTCTCTTTTTTTCTGTCTTCTCTTGGATTAATTGAATATTTTTGTTACTCAATTTTTATTTCCTTTGTTGGTTTCCTAGCCATAACTCTTTGTTGTCATCTTTATGATTGGGTTTATACTATACATATTTAATTTATTTAGGGTTTACAGTATGCATATTTAATTTATTACACTATTCCTTCAAGTGATATTATATGACTTCACATATGTTATAAGATTTTTTTTAATTGGATGCTTCCATTTCTCCCTTCTTAAGCCTTGGCTATTGCTACAATTTTTACTTTCACAGATGTTACAAATCCATACTACATTGTAACTATTTTTGTTTAAATAGTCAATGGTAGTTTGAAAATACTTTAAAACCAGAAAAAAAAATTTAACTATGTAGATACCATATCCTCTTCTTTTCATTCCTTGATGAAAATCTATATTTTCTGAGAACTCCGAAGAAGCCTTTATTTTGCCTTTGTTTGTGAAGATATTTTTATGGTACAGAACTCTGGGTTCATAGATTTGTTTTTCAGCTCTATAAACTTGTTGCTCTGACAAGAAATCTGTTAGAATCCATATGTTTATTCCTTTGTATGTAGCATAATTTTATTTTTCCTCTGACTACTTTTGAGACTTTTTTACTTTTTAGAAAAGTTTTTAAAACAATTTTACCTTTGAGCAATGTGATTATGATGTGTCTGGGTGTGGTTTTCTTCATGATTCATGTGCTTGTGCTTTGTCTAGCTTTTTGGCTCTCTGGATTGACAGTTTCCATGAAAACTTTTCAGACATTATTTCTTCAAATATCTTTTTCTGTTCCCCATCCCTCCTGCTCTTTGAAAATTCCAGTTCTAGTTATATTAAGCCTTGAAAGTCCCACGCTCACTAATGCTCTTTTCATTAAAAAAAAAAAAAAAAAAAAATTCCTTCTGTGCTTCATCTTGAAAGTTTCTATGGGTATATCTTCAAGTTTACTGATCTTTGTTTCTGCAAGTTCTAATCTTCTGTTAATCCCATACAATGTATTTGCCATCTCATACATTGTAGATTTTCTTTTTAGGACCTCAATTTGAGTATTTTAAAAATATCTTCCATGTATGTTTCTGCCTAATTCTTTAAACATATGGAATACATACAATAATTGGATATTCTCGTTTGCTACTTGTAACATCTGTCAGTCCAGGTTGCTTTTGATTGATTTTTGTCATTGTGGGTCATATTTTCCCATTTTTCTACATGCCTAGTTATTTCTACTTGAATGTCAGACAGTATAAGTTTCCTTATTGGGTGCTTGATATTTTTGTATTCCTGTAAATATTTTTGAGCTGTTTTGTGACATAGTTATTTGAAAACAGTTTGGACTGTTGGGTCTTATTTTTAAGATTTGCTGTGTGGTAGCAGGGCTGTAATCAGCCTAAAGACATTAATTTCCCACCACTATCAATGCATTATGAACTAATGCCCTATGAACCAGGAAGTTGTCCAGTCTGGCTGGTGGGAACACACCACTTTCCAGATCCTGTGGTATGCTGGATGCTGTTGCCTCTGATCCTTTCAGTTGGTTTTTTTTTTTTTTTTTTCCCCCCACATATTTTCATGTTTCAAAGTGTTCCCTTCTCTCCTGAGCTGCCCATTAAGATCCTGTCACCTGGGACAGGTGCCTTCATGTGTCAGGTGATTTGCAGAGCATGGATAAATGACTTTCGCTCTCTGCCCTCCCTCCAAGACTCCCTTAAGCTCACTAACTATGCCTCATCCTTTAGGACTCTGCTTAAGTGCCAGCTCTTCAGGAAGCATCTTCCCTGACCCTTAGATTGGATGGGGACTCCCCTGCTAAGTATTCTCACCGCTTTCTGTACCTACTTACATTTTTATTCCTTTCACTCTATTGTAATTACTTATGCTTTAAAATAAGCATCCTCCATTCAATCATGAGCTTCAGAAGAACAGGGACTCCTCTCTCCTGTTCTTTGCTTTATCCTCTTGGTAGTGACAGGCCCATAGTGAGTACTTAGTAAATATTTATTGAATAAGTGAATAAACAAATAAATAAACCAACGAATCAATGAACATACTTTTCTTATAAGATGATAAACTGGGACCTTCTGGATGAATTGATTGATCAGGTGGCTCTTTCTTGATGACCTCTCATCATAGGAATTTAAAAATGCAAAAGCACTATCAACTTAAGTCGAGAGGAAGTTGTGATTCCTCTTCTGCGGAGAGAAGAGGGCAGTTTACTCGCTCTGAGTGATTTCCTCACACCACCACCCACAGGGAATAACACTTGTTTCTCCAGAGGGGAAAGAACATAATGTCCAAACAAGTCAGACCTGGAAGGAAGCTTTAGAAATCAGTGATTTCTTTCTTCTACAAAGATGGAACAAGGAGGAGACCTGCTGAGGTAATAGGGCTGTTTGTTGGCAGAACCTGAACTGGAAACTTAATCTCCTGATTATTCCATGGTCTTTCCACTCCCTAAGTTCCATATAGCCCCACACTAATTTGAAATATAGCCTGGGGAAGTGGAGCCCCATAGATAATTTCTTGCTATAATAATGTCACTGATTTGTTGGACTTGCTTTTCTGCAAAAGAGAAATGCAATAGCAAGCCATGTCTTTAGAAGAGCATTTTCTAATAAATCCATGCAACTAGAACTCTGAAAACAATCGCTTCTAGAGCTTTTGGGTAAGGTCAAGTGTGGAACTCTGAAATATCCGAAATGTTATGTGTTGTTAATTCTAATGGTCACAAACAAGTATGCATATAAGTATCTGTATATCTGTATATAAGTATACATGTAAGTACATATAAGTATGAACAAGTGTACATATAAGTATCTGCAGGTACAAGCTGAAGTCAACCTACTTTAAAAATAGCAGTGAGCTTTATTTTATATATATATAAATGTATCCTGAATGCATTTCAATTGCATGCGTAAATCACCACCTGTATCTGCAGAGAAAGTGTTTTAACCAAGCATGCTGCCCCCAACCAACATCATTTCCAGCTTTGAACTTATCCTGGGACTGTTTTTGCTAGCCAACTACTCTGCAGCTAAAGTGCTATATACCTAAGTAACTATTCCTTTTTAATGCAAAGTCCTGGAACTTAAGCTGATTACAAGATAGTGACTCGCCTTTTGTCTTTTCTGTGCCTCCACCCCACCTAGATCTTTCTGCTCCTGCAATTTTTAGTGAGTGAGTTACCTGGAACACCAGTCCAATAAAGTTTGGACTAGAATACCAGACAAGAAAAGGATGAGCTCATTTCCCCTCTATGCTGTCAGTCTTTGAACACAGTGAGACCTATTGTGAGTCTTTCTGCTGGGAAGGGTCATGAGGTGCCTCCCACACACTGGCTGTGAACTTGTTCCCAACAAATGAGTCTGTGGGTTGGGAATGTCATCTATCTGAGCAGATATCTGCCCATATACTATCTCATTACCAGTAAAACTCTGAGCCTAAAGGTGACACATGGCCAAGAGCTGCTCTGCTGTTAACCATGCACAATCAATGGTAGCAAAGGTTAAAGTGAGCATAATCTGCAACTTTTCCGTGGAAGTCTTAAACCTTTCTCATGGTGGTTCTGCCCATTGTCAGACAATTATATTAGAGAAAGGTTTTCGTTTTCACAGCATGTTCAGATTTTGGAGGGAAATGCAAAGAGTAGTGAAGGAGGAAAGGCAAACCTTTCCTCCCAGGCTTCAACAGAGTCAACCCGGGAATCAATGAGATGACAGATGTTGGAGACAGATGCCTGAATATCCACGCAATAGTCAGGCTTAATGAACTAACACAGGAAGAGCAATTAGAGAATTCATTAATTATACTCTAAGTTCACTTTCATTGTTAATTCTAATCCTTTATTTGGGCTAATGACTTCAGCTTTTCTTATAATAATTTGTGCCTATCAGTGAATGATAACATCTTCAAATTTCCATAATGGTGTAAAATTCAAACTATATGTAGCTCTAGTTCTAAATTGGACCTAAAGTAGCTTTTAAGGGTACATAAGACACTTCAAGATAACATAAATGAGGAGAAAAACAAAAGTAAGAACATAACATGGAGTAAAGAATAAGGCCAATATAAAAATACAAACTACAAAGTCTTATACACTTGCTTCAGGTTCTATTTTATAAGCAGGAATAGCTCAGATAGCTCAGCCAATATGTTCACCCATTAACAATGCACAGGCGTTTGTTTAGTCCTACAATTAAACATGCACCACAGTAGGTCCACTCTAACTCAATAGTTTGCTAATTGTTTGTCTTTGTTATTCTTGTATAACATGCTGTCCTGTATTCTCTAATCATCTATTATAAAACAACAACAACAACAACAAAAACCAGAAATTCCTTCAGTGAATAAAACATAATGAAAAATGCATTTTTATTCCCTTTATGTACTCTGGCTAGCTTCTAAGAAAGGGTAGTCACATTTTGCACCGCTCAACTCTAAGTCTTGCTCCTGAACCAATAAATATGCACTCATTTGCATACTCTCTTTCCATCCTTCTTGAGCAAGCCACACTGACACAAGAGCCTCCTTGCTAGGCACGGAAACTGTTTCAAGATGTTTCAAGCCAAGAAAGGGCCACCTGCATGCATTATGGTTAAGACTTTAAGTTACCTTACCACTCAAGTCTTCCTGAAAAAAGTTCAAAAGGTGTTCATCTGAATCATTCATGCTTTTGTTATCCGTGACCTAAAGCAATATGGTAGCTTTTTTGTGTGGGGGCTGATGGCAGGGCAGAGGTTGAACTTTTATTTTAAAAACACTTGTATGCTCCAATATTTCAGTAATATATGGATCTCTATTATATTCTAAAGTTGTACTTGATATTACATATAAGCTAAGTTCTAACATGAAGTATTATAAAAAGGATACAATTTATTTTAAAAATCTACCATTTTGATCAAAAAGAAACGCATATATGAAAATATAGTTTCCCATAAATGTAAGATTTTCATGATGTGCATTTTTGTTTGATTACATAAAGTAGGAAAAGATACAGCTTAATTTACTTCTAAGCTGATATAAAATACCTAACTAAACTAGAAAACAATTATAGTAGCATAATTTTATTTGCATCTGTGAGTATTATTTTTGTGATTTCAGAGCCAGAAAATGCATGACACAGGAGAAGATGCACCCTTATCTGTTCAGTGAGAGATGTGCAAATCAACATCAACACAGAACTGCTGAAGAAAAAAAATTGTGTGTGTATGTGTATATGTGTGTGTGTGTACATATATATATATATTTATATATATAGTATGGGCTATTTCACCTTTGCAAGCTGGGAGCCATTAAGTAGTGGCTCCCACCACTCCCCCACCCCCCTTCAGTAAAACACATCCTGAACATTGGGCCCATGTTTTCAAGAAGAATGTGCCCCACTGCCCCTTGGAAACTCCATTTCGTTTACTTGGTTCAGTTAGTTAATGACGGTCCATTTTGACTCAAACATTCAGTTCCCTTTCATCAATCATGTCTTTCTGGACTGTCAGTTTTAAGGCAAGGATTACAAAGCCGTTCCATGCAGATATCCACAGAGAAAGACCCAGACCCACATCCTCATTTAGGATTGCTTAGGGACTCATTTCTTGCGCTTCCTTCCAAATGAAAAGAATGAACTACGTGAAAGGGGAAAACCCCACTGGAAAATGAATGTTGGTGACTCAAGTGTTAATCTAGAAAGTCTTATTATTTGGTGCTGGAAAAGGGCATTGTAATAAGATGGTTCTTTATACCATGCAAACCAGGGGAATACAAAACACTGTCAATATGAAAATAAGATTTAATTTGGAATCACAACACATAGGGTTTTTTCCACTTTAAATTCTTTTTATTCAATCATATTTGTTATAAATATTCAATAGAAACGCAGTTTTTCAAGACTGAAATGGTCTTTAATGAAGCAAGCCATGTGTGGCTTTTCAGGCGAGCATTTTCATGCTTGGTTAACTGCAAGGATGTTCATGTTCCTTTCCCAAAAAATATTATTTGTGATTCTGCTTAGGTCTCTGGAAAGCAACTTATCCACTGGAGATGTGAGGAGTCATCCACACATCACAATTCTATAGACATCAAAAGCAAAAAGCATTTCCCATCTGCTTTAAGACTGAGGCAGACTTTCCATCTGGACACAGCCAACCATCCATGTGTCATTACAATGAATTCAGCACTTCCCTGGAAGCTGAAAGGGTCAAATTCAACTTCAGCTCTGCCACTTGCTGCTTAACTTGCTGTTTAACCTTGGGCAAGCTGCCATCCCACATGAGGCCGAAGGTGTTGGTTTTTAAAATACAGAAGTTGGATTCCATGAAGGATTATCGATATACTGCTGGTGGGTCAAATTCCATCTGCTACTTGCTTTTGTAAATAAAGTTTTATTGAAACACAAACATACCCATTAATTTACTCTTGTCTATGACTACAAGGGCAAAGTTGAATAGTTGTTACAGAGACCATCAGGCTCACAAAGCCTAGATTATTCACTCTCTATCTGCCCATTTACAGAGTAAGTTTGCCAGCCCTGGACTGGATGATTTTTTGAGTTCCTTCTAATTCTAGAATTCTTTATATATTTTATGAAACCCCTAATGTTTATATATTAATTATTTCAATACCCGTGTCTTTACTGAGTTCCTCCTATGAAGCATACATCAAGATATATGTGTGATACATTAACTAAACTTTGTAACAGTATCTTAAATAGGATTTCAATGACTAACAGCTCTTGGAAATATCCAAGGTAACATTTTGGGGCAAATGTCTTATGATTTGATTATCATTGGTAAATAGAGCATATCTTTTTTCCTACTAACAATGTTTAAGAAGTTAAAAAAAAAAAATCAAGAAAACCCCGTATGGCACTAGAGACTTATTGCATTAAGACATCATCTTCACAGATTGTTTAGTTTTGGTAATATAATTTGACATCTAAACATAAGCTGAGAGGGATCTCCCTCAAAACCTTTGATAATATGATTCATTGTCAAATGTTTGTTTTGCCTATCTGGCACTCATTAATTAATTCTTTTTAATATAGCTTGGATTTACTGATTTTGAAAAAGAGAATTATTCTTATTGATGTTGCTAAAATATCCAGGTGGCTTGAATTTCACCAACTAGATAGTTTAATCTAGCACATTTGTGTAGCCCTAATCAAATCTTTACTAACAGATGTGAGAAGCCCAGTACTGGAGCTAATGTTTGTGTCTCAATGATAATTAAATTAGCTTAATAAGGAAAATAAATGAACAATAATCACCAAAATTTTTCTCTAAACCTGTGTTATAGTCTTAAAAACATTTTCCCCCTATGGAGGCTTTTGGTAATAAAACACAAATTGAGGGATTTTACTTAAAAGAATTTTTTTTCCAAGAACTGGTCATGTACTAAATTGCTTATAATCAAATAATCAAGTAGCATTTCTTTTATCATAAGAGCAAAACCTATAATTAAGCCAAAATTCAAATTTGTTTTCAAAGGTTGGATAATCTTTTGTTTTGGCCAATAGTATGTGGATTTTTTCTTTTAAGGATTATCTCTTCGTAGTATTTTCTAATGGATAGGAAATGCCTTTCTCTGGTTGAATGATTATTTCCACATAGAATTAGTTCCTGCTTACGACAGTGCTCCACTAATGTAATGGCTCAGTGAATTGGCTTTATAATTCATTAATCATAGCTCACATTGAGCTTCTGGCTCCGGATGACAGTGCCCACCACAGGCCAAATAACTTCTCATTTAAAGGCAATTTGTACGAATAGGGAAGGTGAGAATTCTCACAGTCCCTGAGGGATTGAAGAGTTGTTCAAAAGCCAAGATAAGGCATTTTATGGAAGGCAGGTTGGTGGAAGAAAGGTGGCCATCGGAGGATGAGGCAGATGGCTTTCGAGGGAGGCCCTGGTGCTGCCGCCATGGGGAAGCCCCTGTTGCAGCTGCTGATCAGAGCACATTGGACGGTGTTTCCGTGTGAACGTGAAGACAATGCTGCCTCTGTTCCTGTGACGCTGCGCTCTGACCTTGCTGGAGGCGAAGTGGTGTCAGCTGTGCTTACAGGACAGTCAGTGGTGGTGGAAAAGAGGCCCATGTGACCTGTGGAGGACTGGGCCCCTCTCACTCAACCCGAGTGCCTGCAGGTGTGGCAACCTTTATTTGTGTATTCTACTGTATTTATTTATTTGCCTGGCTAATTAGCTCTGTGCCACATTCCTAAGCTAGATGTGTCCCTTTGTGAAAGAAAGAGGGAGAGAGAAAGAAAAGGGGGGGCGCGTAGGAGAAAGAGAGGAAAGCAAGCAAGAAGAAAGAGAGAAAGGAAGGGAAAAGAAAGAGAGAGAGAGGGAAGGGAGGGAGGGAGGAAGGGAGGGAGGGAGGGAGGAAGCAAGGGGAAAGAAAGAGAAGGAAAGAAGGAGCCTTCTAATTTTATTTTATTTCTCCAATAAATGTTCCTATATTAAGACCTTAGACAAAGATTAGAAATATGATTTGACAGAAAGTGTATGGATGTGTTGTTCTATTGCATTGTAGTAAAGTATCCATGGCAATATACAAATAATATAGCTCCTACCCCTAGTCTCTGTTCTTATTTTCATGTGTTGTCTTAACTTTTTAAATTTCAAGATAGTATTGCACTTATTTATTCTTCCATGAGGAGGCCTAGGATTTAGCTTGATTAGAAAAGCTGTGAAAAATGAATGTGCTAATTACTTTAAATCAAATTGAAAATAAATTTTATCCTGTTTCATGCAAAACAGTATATTTGACTGTTTGTTCATTCAACTAATAAAATCAATTACGTCTATAAGTGGTTAGGCACTTAATAAGCCAGCCCCTGTCCTAATGCTTTCTTCATCTCCTGTAATTCACATCATGAAGCCATGGGAAGATCTCAAGTGACCCGTTAGCCGGAAGAGGAAATCAAGCCTGCTATCAAGACTGATGCTGGGAGAATTTCTCCAGGGCACTTAGGTGAGGGTCTATGGTTAACTTTCCATGACTATGGACCCCAACTCCACAAAGCACAAGGACTCAGGCAAGTTTGCAATTTTAGCATGAAACACACTTTTGGGGCATGATCACGTGACTCATATTGAGTCACTAGAAGTTGTGTTACCGTGTCTGGTATGCAAATTTAAACATGAGTGAGTATTCCTTCAACCTGAGCAATTTATATAACTTATTAATTTAAAACATTTGAACTATTTGTGTGGGAACAAGAGCTTCTGGCTTACAGAATTCCCAATGTATAGGGCAGAGCAATGCATTTAGAAGATGGCATGAGGTATCAAAAGTATTGCAAACCAAATCAGTGGGACAATTGGGAAAAACTGAATAAGGTCTGTAGATTAGGTAATAGTGCTATATTGATTCTAAGTTCCTGATTTTGATTTTTGTACTGCAGCTATGAAAGACAATGTCCTTATATGAGGGAACTACAACATTAAAATGTTTAGGGGTGAAAGGATACAATGCCTACAATTTATTCTCAGATGGTTCAAGAAAAAAAACAAATGTACCTATTGATCTATTAGTCTTTTGAGAGAGGGAGAGTATGCTAAAGCTACTGTGGTAAAATATGGACATTTTGGAAATTTGGATGAAGGGTATATGGAAGCGCTTTGTCTTATTTTTGTAGCTTTTTCATATGCATGAAATTATTTCAAAATTAAAATGTAATGATAAAAAAAAAGAAACTTTAAAATAAGCAAGGCTCTAGGCTGGCCTTCTGATTTTGGAAGGCATAGTGCCAGAGGTATCAGTAAAATGCCAGGGTGTTTTGAGATTGCCATGGCAGAGAATGTTTCCTCAACATATTTGGAGTTTGGTTTCTGGAGGCCAACATGATCATTGAATCTTGATGGCTAAAATATTGTTCATTTGCCAGCAATTTATTTGACTGGCTACTGGAAAATGTTTCACTAAACAAGGAAAATCAACAACAACAAAAAAAGGCACACTACCTTTGCATTAAATACTCCAAGTGTAATAATATGTGACAACATGTATATTGTTTTCCATATAGACAAGCGTTTTTGTATGCTGAATTTTCAGTTATCAATTCCGAATATTAAAATATTCCTATGCGTGGTGGCTCATGCCTGTAATCCCAGCACTTTGGGAAGCCAAGGTGGGCAGATCGCCTGAGGTCAGGAGTTCAAGATAAGCTTGCCCAATATGGCAAAACCCCGTATCTACTAAAAATACAAAAAAATTAGCCGGGCATGGTGGCAGGCGCCTGTAATCCCAGCTACTCAGGAGGCTGAGGCAGGAAAATCGTTCGAAACTGTTAGGCGGAGGTTGCAGTGAGCTGAGATCATACCACCGCACTCCAGCCTGGGCGACAAGAGTGAAACTCCATCTCAAAAAGAAAAAAATACGTATTCCTATAAATGTAGATGGTTCACAAACACCCTGGATAAGATTAAGAAGCACCTTCGTGAAAGTATATTTTGTACTCAAGGGGACATAACAGAAAAAGGGAAAGTAACTTCAGAACTAAATTAAGAATATAGAAGAACCATAAAATGTAAGAACAAATAAGAATATGAGACTGGAAGAAGGTAATGTTTTTCAATTCTTAATGTATTGAGTGCTTAATGCCTTTTAAGGTTGCCCTCTGTGTTTGACACAGGATTTTCACTAGCACCAGTAAATTAAAAAAATAAATAAATAAACAGAGGATTTAAATGTCAAATGTTTCTCCCGACTTTGCTTGGACATTAAGTACTTCACATTTGGGAAGTAGGAGAGGCCCTGGACTTAGTCTGTGGACCCAAAGCCCGTTCTATTTCCAGATCTGCAACAAATGGGGAGTCACCAAATGGCTGCCCTTATCCAGTTATGTTTCCCTATCTATAAAACGAGGAGGTTAGTGTACATTTATGATAACTTATGGCTATCACACTCTGACCAAAAACACTATATGAGCTTACCTTGTTAGACAGAGGACATAAATTCCAAGGGGGAACATTCAGATTATTCTGGAAATGCAATTAAATACAATTTTATTGCATGTAATATTGCTTGAAAACACTGAGCCTACAGGCTAGAACTCAGTTTTGGATTATGTAGACAGTGTTGTTTTCATGAGATTTTTTTTAGTAAGAGAAGTTGCCATGCAAACAAATCATATGCATACTTTTCTTTTTAGGTTGAGTGTTTAACTAAAAGGTAACCCATTTATCTACATTTTAAAATATTTTTTTTTGTACTAGAGACATCCTTAGGGAGTTTGGTGGTTCCATCTCTTTTCCCTTCCTCCCAAGAAGAATTTATATCTGGATAAGTCAACCAAATGTCAATCGTTTGCATGCTACTTTCAATATTTTTCCACCTGTACTATTATTTATTTAACTTTTTTTTTTCACACGGACTCATTTTTTTAAACCTTAAGTGCCTACCCCAACCTCATGCGTACCAGTGGTATATGCATTTCACCCTTTGGGAAAATATGCCATAAGGGTTAACAGTGATAATGAAATATTTCTAATTTGCCAAATGCTTCCACATATATTAGTTTATCTAATCCTTACAACCTCCAATTTTACAGATGAGAAAATGGAGACTGAAGGAGATTAAATGATTTGTTCTAATTACACAGCTAATTAGTGATTAACTAGAATTCACATTCAAATCTTCTAACTCCACATCCTATGATCTCCTTGCAACATCAACAACACTGTGGATTGTTAGGTTCATGTTTCTTTTCCCTTCTGGAAAGTGTTTTCCATTTTGACAGTGTTCCCTATCCCTAGTTTTGGGGAAATGGGAAATGTGTGGATTTCAAATAAAATATCCAGGGTTATATACTATATGTTTATCATATATTATTCTATAACAATACTGTATACTCTATGATACGTAGTATGTATTATATAATATGTATTATTTGACTTAAAGACAGAAAGTTCTGATATCTTGGTTTGATTTTTGCTACCCAAACACTCACAGGCAGAAGAGTTGTTCTTTAGCTGTTATAAATTGAGCTTATTTCCTTGTGAATTCAAGCAAACATGAAATCCTCCGCTTTTAGTGAAAGAAATCAGATAAGTTGCTGATTGAAATGAGCTACTCCGGTTTTCATTTATTTATCTTTAGTGCTCATTGTCTCGGTTGGTGAGTGCATCTTGGTTGAAAGGAGTTAAAAATACAGTCAAAGAGATTTTCTTTCCTCCTTTCTTCCTGTGGATCATGACCTTTGCTTTTTTCAACTTCCTCAATTTAGATTCAGTAAATTGTCATAGAGTGCCACAACACCTGCTTCGGTACTTGAGAAATTGACTTTTCCTGCAAATTACCCTGACCAGTGACCTTGTCTTGGCTACCAAAGACTTTGGAGAAGGAGGGAGGCTGTATGTGTGGCCGTGCCCCAGCCCATGATTGGTATTTAGCTCTTTGAAGTTCAGTTATCTATTTAATGTACAGGCATTCTGAAACAAATGCCACATTATAATCATCAACCGGAAAACTCAACTATCGCCTCTTACAGAAATAACATTTGATCTTACGAGGGATGGGCTGTGGTATAATTTAAGAGCTTCCAATGATAATTTTCTTAAAGAAGGGGACATTTGGTAGATATGTCTTTTTGCTGTGAGGAGCTATCTCGGTTAGGTGTCAGTGTAATTATGCGAGAGTGATAGGACGGAGGATAGAGATGGTGAGCAGTCAGCGTTTGGTGTTTGGTGTCTTTCAAAGGTGTTTCTTTTGCAGGAAAATTTAAGATCCGTGCCTCCTGCCACACAAGCATTGGAAGAGATCAAAGGCCACCCCTGGAAGCTCAAGAGGTAAAATTATATTTTTATCCTCTAGCTTTGATTTTTGGCAGCTTACCGCATTTTTTAAGAAATTAATTGCTCTGTCCAGCCAGCAGGTGTTAGCCCTCAAGTGTGGGCCCAAGGGCCGGCTGCTGGGCAGGCAACTTAAAGGCCGCATAACTCACCACAACCTTGAGCTCCTTCAGATTGGTCCAGCAGAAAGTTCTAAAAGTACTTCAAGGCCAGATGACATGGGAACCTGTGTCCCTGTCAAATATCAAAGAAAAACAGTGAGACTGTAAAAATGTAAACTTATAAAGCGTGCACTTAATTTTGACAAGCTTTTAGTATCGAGTTGCAGATTTTAGGCAATAAGGCAGCTTAGGTTAAAATGGGCCATAGGAAGCAGAACCTGAAAGCTCGTTTAGAATTATATGGGGAGACCCTGACTCATTTTTTTCCACATCTGTTCAGTTTGATTTAGACAAGACGAAAAGTTTGATGTGCAACTTAAGGAGTCAAATCTCCTTTTTTACCTGTGATTCTCAAAACCCCCAAGATTTTTCTTGCTTTTCATGAAATCGCATGAAGGTTAACTTTCATTTTGTAATTGATGAGAACACTGTTAAAATAGTGTTTCAAAATTGTCATGCTGTAAATGAAAACACAAGGGTTGGTTTTTTGGTTTTTTTGGTTTTTTTTTTTTGGTTTTTTTTTTTTTCCTCTTTAAACATCTGAAAGAGCAGGGCTTAATAAAATACTTGACCTCATACTGAGTCGGCTTAGAATGTCTCCAGAAAGCCTTGTTTCATCAGGGCCATCTGCGTCCTGTACATGGATGTGGAGTTATGAAAGCTATGGCACAGAGAACGTCCAACAGTCATTGTCATGATGAAGAGACTGGCATTGAAGGATCTTGTACAGCTTTAGTGTGTCTCTGGGTGTATAGATGCCATGTGGATGTGTCAGCTTATTAGGTTACAATAAAGTACTAATGAGGTTGCAATAGTTGGTATGGCAGGCAGTTACTTTTAATTTATCTCACCAATGATTGCTCTCTCATTTCAGTCCATCAGGGAAGGGCCAGGAGAGTCCATGGGGACCTGGGCAAATATCAAAACCTACGTTTTCTACTAAGTAAATACCTCCGATTCACATCTCACTGGTTCTGGGGCAGCAGAGCGACCACTCTGTGGAAAACAGGAAACTGAGAAAGAGATCGATAGGTCATCAAAGCCACCTGCTTGCTTGGTGGCCCCTCAAGTTGTCTTTTGCTCAGAAGTTCTGAGAGTTGATGAAAGTGATCATTGGAAGCGCCCAGTCCAGCTCAGGCCAGTCTGTATTGCTGCCAAATAAACTATTTTTAAAGTTCTTTGGGCTTTGAAAAATATTCTGACTGGTAGCTGGACGTGGTGGCTCATACCTGCAATCCCAGCACTTTGGGAGGCCAAGGCAGGCAGATCACCTGAGGCCAGGAGTTTGAGATCAGCCTGGCTTACACAGTGAAACCCCATCTCTACTAAAAATACAAAACTTAGCCAGGTGTGGTGGCACACGCCTGTAATCCCAGCTACTTGGGAGGCTGAGGCAGGAGAATCCCTTGAACCCAGGAGGCAGAGGTTGCAGTGAGCCGAGATCACGCCACTGCACTCCAGCCTGGGTGACAGAGCGAAATTCCATCTCAAAAAAAAAAAAAAAAAAAAAAAAGAAAAATGAAAAAGAGAAACATTTGACTGGAGGGTTAGCTGTATTTCTTACTTTCTCTTTCTTCCCACTCCACCACTCCAAAAAACATTGGCTCAGTGACCAGGCCGCTGATAGCACAATGTGCTTTCTCACATGGAGAGGAGGCGAAGCTTCAGCATGTGAATTGTATTCTTCACAACATATGGTGGAGAAAACAGACAGTGGGAAGGGGAGTGATTTGTGACTGTTCATCCCAAAGCGCGTTCTATTGTGTTGCCAAAAATGATAGACTTAAATAAATTGCTCTTTTTGGAATTTATACTCGTGCCTTACTCTCATTTTTTTTAAAATGAAGAAGAAAATCCTCATGTCCATGTAGAAATTCCCATTTATTTATGTGGTTCCCTGGCCTGCCCCCTCCTCCCCCTGACTTCCTCACCCCAGCAGAGCCGAAGGCATTTTGAATATGGAAACTGCGTGTCCCCTTGCAGTCAAGATGAACAAGAAAAGGAGATGAGGTAAAAGGGGAGAGAAAGCAATTAGTGTGGAATCCTAAACTCCAGGTTCTTCTCAGAAATTTTTATGGCTTTTCCCAGGCAGCCGAGGAGAGGCTCGATTTACTTAGAGGAA